CACTAAAAATGTAAATCGAATGATAAAACTTGCAATATCAACGTTTACGATGCAATTTGCACGATTTCGCGAAAAATGTTTACCCAACCATCAGTTGATTTCGCTGCGCGATCACATTGTACAGTTGTCAGTTTCTGTCAGGTATGTCCGTCTGTCGAAAATGTAAATTAGTAGATAGTATCGGATATTTCACACTTCTAAATACATCTCATTATATAGGGTGTATAAGGTTGCTTTGTTTTAGCCCTAGATGACTACAGTTACGAATTTTTGGAAACCATGAGAAAAATCGAATTTTATCATATATAATACCACGAGTGATAATATTTTGCCGGAAATATTCGGTGATTGTTACGACAGCTTGTTGCCTAGTAATTTCGTGAATGACATTGTTGTAAAAACTACGAGCCGTAGGCGAGTAGTTTTGGATCAATGTCATGAGCGAAATTAGAGCAGCAAGCTGGAGTATATGTCAATCGACGAATATTTCCAGGAAAAATAGTATCACGAGTTGTGATAGTGATAGTAATGAAATACAGAATTTACTTTTTTAGAAATTAACTACCTACTTATAGTTATTCACAAAGTGGAATGTAAAATTCTGATAAACAGTATTTTTTTTTATTATCTTGGAGATGGTTGTTCTCAAAAGAGAGTATACAATTACTATCCAATTCTAACAAAATAAATTGAATTTATGTGACATGGAATAATTAAAAAAATATATTTCGTCGCCGAGGACTCGAACCATCGACCTTCGTATCCTCGCGCAACAACCCTAACAGTTGCGCCACATCAGCTAGTAATTATATCAGTCACTCACAATAACTTGAGTAATTGAAGAAGATTACTTCAAAAAGGAATTTGAATTCTATTATTGTTGTGTCAGACTGTCAACAAATAGAATGAAATTGTCTCGCCTTTCGTACAAAATATCTCACTAACGCGAATTATAAGTAAATAAAATAAAGTAGGAACTTAGGTTATTGTCTCAGATTTGAATCCAAAGCAATCTTGACCAGACACGATGTCAAAATTTTATCGCTGATAAACGAGGTTAGTTGGTCACGTGTGGGTCAATTCGGCTTCTGTATTGGTAGAGCAAGTCCGATAAATTTTTTTTTGCAGTGAGTAAATGAGCTACACAATCAAAATTTTATATTCAAACCCCATTTTTTCATTGGAGTAGGAGTTTTAGATACTTATTTACTGAAAAAAATCAAATTCTACGCCCATGGAATGATATTCATCATGATATGGTATAATACCAACGAACCAAATTTGAGTGAAATCTCAAAAACGATTTGAAAATTGTAACTTCAGAGCCCTCTAGCGCCCAAACTAAGCATCTTTGTACTGAGGTAAGTTTTCTTGTATCGAATTTGGTTGGTCTGAGGAATATGTAGTAGTTTTTTATAAAGCTCTCCTAGGTATATTTCAGAATGAAGTTTGAAGTTGTACCGGGTGTTCCACTAAGAAAGGACGCCGGCTGTATCTCGGAAACTATGTGCCGCACAGGTTTCGAAAAAAAAATATGAATGATAAAAGTGGCCAAAAGAAATCTCTGGAAATTATTTTCAAGTTTCCAGGGCATCCCCTAGAGGGCGTAATTGCATTGGCCAGTTTAATAAACGGGATTTTATGAAAATTTTATATATCAAGACATATCAAAAACACTTTTTTCATGTTCTCGAGTTGATTTCCAATCATTTCGATCAAAAAAATTGCGCTAGCTCTTTAAATGAAAGAGGGAGGGAAGGATGAATAGTACTTTGAAAAAACTCCCATCACTTCAGTTTGGTGTAACGGAATTCAACGATCTTGGTCTCATTATGAAGGGTTTTTTTGGTTCTTCCAGATGAATCACGAATCAAGTCGATTTAAATCCTGTGGTGGCCGCTAGATGGCATCGTTTGAAAAATCAGACAATTTTCCATTTTTTTTCGAAAATTTCAAATGGAACCATATATTCATTCTACTTCAATATGGAAGTAGAGCAATCAAGAAGAGAAATGGTTAAAACCGCGAATATATGCCTTTTGAGAAACCGGTGAAATACTCGAAATAATATTATGAAAATATTCACCACAGGAATCTAACTTCAATAATCGTCATCAGAAATATCCTGTATCTATGAAATTACGATTTCAATAATTCATTCATTTTGGTTTCACAAACTGCTGTTATATCTCAAAATAGTGAAGGAGACTATTAGTAATGACATAGCTAATTGAAATGTAAGTAGTGAGTATAGGCTCAGGAATGAGAAAAGGCAAGTTGGCTTTGAGAATGAAAGAAACGTCAAAATATAATCGAAGTTCCATTGAACTGTGGATTGCTTATTTGTCAAAATGCCGATAAAGAATGAGGAGGCATTTGACATGCTAACAGTTTAAATTTTAATATTATTCCGAGTATTTCTCCGGTTCTTCAAGAGGTATCAACTCGCGGTTTTCACCATTTTTCTTCTCGTTCACTTCACTTTCATATCATATCAGGAAAAATATATGGTTCCATTTGAAATTCTCGAAAAAAGGCAAATCGGCTGATTTTTCAAACGATGCCATCTAGCGGCCACCACGGGATTTAAATCGACTTGATTCGTGATTTATCGGGAAGATCTGAAGAAACCCTTCATAATGAGACCAAGATCGCTTAGATCCGTTACACCAAACTGTAGTAATATGAGTTGTTCCAGAGTACTATTCATCCTTCCCTCCCTCTTTTATTTAAAGAGCTAGCGCAATTATTTTTGATCGAAATGATTGGAAATCTACTAGAGAACATGGAAAAAGTGTTTCTGATATGTCTTGATATATCAAATTTTCATATAAACTCGTTTTTTAGTTGGCCAATGCAATTATGCCCTCTAGCGGCTGTCCTGGGAACTTGAGAATAATTTCCAGAGATTTCTCTTGGCCACTTTCATCATGAATATGTTTTTCCGAAACCTGTGCGGCAAATAGTTTTCGAGGTACAGCCGGTGTCCTTTTTTAGTGATACACCCGGTACATTATCAATATTTAATTGTGTTAATCATAAAGTTAACCTCTTTGGAGAAGTTCAATGACTGAAACATGAAACTGTATCATAGATTCAGAAAATCAGTTTCCATTTTGATCAGTTCATTCGAAGAATTTTGAACGAAAAATTATCACATGGATTCCTCATCTTAATTTTCAATTTCTCGGAATTCACATTGTTTGAACGTTTTCTTTTTTTTGAGATAATACAACGTGTCGGAATCCTAGCATTTTTCTCATTCATATCACGAAGAAAGCATTAGTTTGAAATGAAAAATTCATTCTGAAAACCCTTGTAGTTGATCTTGAAATACCCTGTATAGGTTACTCCAAATCCTACTGTTGCACCCGGCACATTATCGTTTAGATTCTATTCAATTCCAATTTCATCCATAATTATGTTGCGCATTCTTCCATTTTATGACAACGCGTAAGGTTAAGGTGGCATTATAATAAATCTCTTTGATCGTGATCGTAACCATTCCATGAACTCTCCATCTATTTTGACGCCATTATCTCGGTATATATACGACCGAAAAATGTGAAAACGCATCACACGATGCTCGCGGAGGAAATTGTCAGTCTTTGAAAACAAGTAATTGAAATTCCTGAAGTGAATTTTAATCGATTGGAATGAGGATGACGGAAATTCATTTGACGCGTAGGTTGTACCTATTTTGATTCCTTCCATTTTCCTATAGAGAAATTGTTATTGACAGGGACTGACTGTCAGTGGCGTACCCAAGGGTGCGTTTTTGGGTTTGACACTTCTTTCGCCCCAAGATCCAGGAAATTTCAGTCCTTGAGAACAAGTAATTGAAATTCCTGAAACGAATTTTAGTCGATTGGAATGAGGTGACGGAAATTCATTTGACGCGTAGGTTGTACCTATTTTGATTCCTTCCATTTTCCTATAGGTCGCGTGCACGATGACCGACCCTGGAGGCAAAATATTGAAACACAACCTCACTCTTCTGTGAATTATTGAAACACAGCTTCACTTTTTCATTTGTTTACAGATGAATCAAAAGGTTTAAATAGTTTTTCACAATATTTTGGCATACGAATCGTGTTTCTTGCGTTATTCATTAATTCAAGCATGCCTTCGCATTGTACTGTTGTACAGTGCACAAAAAATGCAGTAAGAGACTAGGGAATATGATTTTCCAGGTAAATAGTAATCTCACATAGTTATCATTATGAAATGTTGTCATTCCTTAGTAAAATTCCTTCTGCCTTCTGCCACTTCTACAATACAAGCTAATACTGCTAATAGATTATAGATTGAAAATGTCTACAACACACACGATTGTCAGCATGTCAGACCAGTCCTCCCGATTGATTGCATGAATCCAATCTTCTTGCATTATTCTAGAAATTTCAGGTATATTTCTATTAGCTCTTATTGCAGAAGGAATTCCGATGAGGAATCAGAGATCAGAGAAATAACCAAATTTCAAAAATGAAAACTATATGTGAGTGCGACTATAGTATAGGTACTTACTTTTAAATCATAATGTACCATCCGGATGCCTTCATCTTCCGCTGCAGATTTTGTGCATTTTACAACAGCACAATGTGATGGCATGAGCGAATTGATGAATAGCGGAAAAATACGATTCATATGCCAAAATAATTGTGGAAAACTATTTCGATCACTTGTAAACAAATAAGAAAAGTGACGTTGTGTTTCAATGTTTTGCCTCCAGTGTCGGTCATCTGACAGTTCTTGCACGCAACCCATGGAGGAATTGTTATTGACAGGGACTGATTGTCAGTGGCGTGCCCAAGGGGCGTTTTGGGGTTTTCATCCCGCCCCCCAAGTTCCAGAAATTGTCAGTCTTTGAGAACAAGTAATTGAAATTCCTGAAGTGAATTTTAATCGATTGGAATGAGGATGACGGAAATTCATTTGACGCGTAGGTTGTACCTATTTTGATTCCTTCCATTTTCCTATGGAGAAATTGTTATTGACAGGCACTGACTTTCAGTGGCGTACCCAAGGGTGCGTTTTGGGGTTTGAAACTCCTTTCGCCCCAAGATCCTGAAATTTTCAGTCCTTGAGAACAAGTAATTGAAATTCCTGAAACGAATTTTAGTCGATTGGAATGAGGATGACGAAAACTCATTTGACGCGTAGGTCTTCCATTTTCCTATGGAGAAATTGTAATTGACCAGGACTGACTGCCAGTGGCGTGCCCAAAGGGGGGGGGTTGAGGTTTGAAATTCCTTTCCCCCAAGTTCCAAAAATTGTCAGTCTTCGAGAACAAGTAATTGAAATTCCTGAAGTGAATTTTAATCGATTGGAATGAGGATGACGGAAATTCATTTGAAGCGTAGGTTGTACCTACTTTGATTCTTTCCATTTTCCTATGGAGAAATTGTTATTGACAGGAACTTACTGTCAGTGGCGAGGGGAATTTGGAGTTCGATATTCTTCTCTGGTTCCATCCGAAGCGTCCTGTGCTATCGGTAGTTATCTTTTTTTTTTGGAACTTGTCACTTACGCGATGGGTATTTTTCGAAAAAAAAATTTGTTACCTTCGTATTTTTGTCTCAAAAACACAAATTTGATGAGTTCGAAATTTCACATCCTTCTTCCGCCTGACTTTGATACGAATTTAGAACTATTTATCTCATCATTCGACAATTTATATATCACAATGTACTTCAAAGACACATTTTAAATATGAAAATCAGATTGAAATATATTTTTTTTGCGATTATTCCATAATATTTAGTGAACAATCACACCAGCTGACAGTCATTCTGCCAACAAATCATCAAGGACATGTCAAATATGAAATGATTCACTCTCACCGTGGGTAAATGAGTAAACTTATTTTTTTCTGGAAATTCATATCACACAACTGACACACAACTATGGTTTCAAGCTTTAAAGTGGAAAAAAGATTGTATAACGTCACTTGAAAGCAATTTGTCTGAATTTTAAGTTCTTGCAGAAACCCATGGGCAGAACTGGCCCATTTTAGCTAAATTCAGAATGATTATATTACTCTCTTTGAATACTAACGAATGAATGTAAAGTCATGACTTTCACACGAAAATCCACCCCAATTACACTCGATATTTGACACTTCACAACTAGAATGAAGTTCTCTTTGATCAAAAGCTGACTCTCTCCACTTCATTAGAAAAAATAATGAACAGAGCTATACAGTTTTTGGGATTTTTGATCCGTACCTGTAAGGAATTCAAATCATTTGATGCTTTGAGCTGTGTCTACTTCTCATTAGTGAGGAGTACATTATTTTACTGCAGTGTAGTGTGGAATCCATGTCATTCCAAATATATCGAAAGCATTGAATCTGTGCAAAGGAATATCTTAACATATGCATACTATGAACAGTGCCGGTTTAAGGTTATTTGCCGCCTGGTGCTATGATGGACGCGCTGCTCTTCAGACTCAAAAATATTCCTAATCTTTCAGGTCTCTGGATTTCTTCCCATGACACATTTTTGAAGTGATAATAAATTCTATAGGCACGTTGGACGTTTTCTGGGATGGGAGTAAAACGGCAAACTCGCGTCCCGTAAGACCGGCATAATCATAAAAGCAGTGTATACCATAGAAGTTCTACGCACACCAGTTTTTTTTTATAGAAGTTTGATGAACAAAATGAAAAATTCAATATAACAAACCGGATGTTGTGGAATAAAATTAAAAAACATAATTCTTTAGTGTTCACATAATGAATAACAAGAAAAATGAATAGGTATATGTTAACATGAAAAAGGAAAATCAAATGATAATAGGCAAGTACGTAACTAGGAACATGAAGTAACAATACAAAAATCTGTTTTCTTGCTTCAATGCAAGCCTTTATGTATGATACACTTCACAAGCTCTATACATTAGTTTCATTTAGTAGATCTTGTTTGAGTTGAGACAAAATTGTTAGCTTAAAAATTTCGAAAACAAATATTCATATTGGGAAAAAAAGATATTATATTACATTATTCTCGTGTAGAACTTGGACTAATTCCATAATAGGAGTTTCTGCTTTAGTCTCTAGGAGAGAAAACTGTTTTTTTCAGATGAATAACGTTCGTCAGAAACAGATTTGTCCAGATCCTCTACATACTTTTTTGTAGTTTAGTTGACAAATTTGATCAAATTTTCATCCTCTGGTGACACTATCTTGAACAGAAATTCAAATGATTCTGAACTAGATTTGTAGGTGGAAGTCCTAATTGTGCTTTTGTTGGGATGATTCACTTCTTAACATAAATTTCAGTTTAGGTTGTATAGTGATCAAATCTTCCGCGTAAAAAATCCAAATATCGAGATAATGACTGATGACAAAAGATGTGCAGTTGTATTTTCATATAGCCGCCATGAAGATTTTGCCGCCTGGTGCTATAGCACCCAAAAGACCCTTGGTAAAATCGGCACTGACTATGAAAAATATGACATAAAATAATTCATAATCCTGTCAATTCATGCTCTTCAATTTCTCTGATCAATCCCAATGATCAAACATTACGTGCCCAACACACAACATCACTTTCATTGAAATTATCCTATTCGAATCATTCATGATTTCTTTTATGGAACTATCGGGTCGATTCTGTTCGGATCTTGTTATAACATTGCTAAGATCATAATATTGTTATGATCCTAACATATAACAATATTGCTATGAAGTTCTGTATTCTGTTTGCAGAGTAACTGCAAGATTGGTTAGAAGTTCAAGTGATAGCAATATTGTTGAAATATTGGGAATTTTTGAGCTGACAACACTGTTTTCAACTCATTGTTTAAGTGTTAGGTATCGATTTTGCCATTATTTCATGAAGAATAAGAGTTCATGATTATCTAACCTCTCAAATTAGTCAGTCCTGCACTGACATTTTACAAAATTATATTGTTCAAATCGAGAGATTTTGTATTTGCTGAATCTGGTCGTAGTTGTGCGACTGGTGCAAGTAATCAATCATGTCCCCGAAATGAGAAAACAACTAAAAGCCGGATGAAAATGATCGTGATTTTTTTTTAATATTCTAGCAAAATAAGTTTAATAAGTTTAATAAGTTTAAGATGTCTTTGCGTGATAGCTTATAGCCTATTGTTTCGTTTCATGTTTTTATTCTTCTCTTTTCCTTATCGAAATTGTTAAGTGAGTACCTATGTGTTGAGACATGGTGTATATTAATTATATTCATTATATTCTTATATTCATACTGTATTCAAACTTGTAATGGGGGTTTCCCGTAAATAAATGAATTAAAAAAAAAAATTAAAAAAATAGCTTGATAAGCTATTCATCAGGCAACTGAAATGGTTTTCTGGTTTTTCTGATATGAAAAAATGTAATGTCATATTCCTTCTACAAATTGGAACTTCATGAAAAGGTTTTCAAGTAGTTGGTCACAGTAGTGAACCTATCCTATATGTTTTTAATCACCATTCTAAGTTTTTCAATAATTCTTCTACAAATTGAAACTTTGAGCAAGTATGATCTTTGCTTTGAGGAAAGGTTTTCGAGTAGTCAGTGACAAAATTGAACTCTCATATGTTTTTAATCCACTATTTTCTGAATTTTCATACACTTGGAAGAAATTGTAGTGCAAAAACAAAGAATCCACTACCTTTTATAAGATAGCAAGCACAAAATTGATGTTGCCGAGATAGCAAGAAAGCTGACCAGATGTCATTGAAATTGACAGATCATATTGCCAAAAATCGATGATTAGAATTCCACTTTTTCCAATCTTGCTATGATAGCAATATCTTCTCTACAACCATATTGCTATTTGCAAACAGAATCGACCCGTATGTATGTTTTTTTGTAGACCGTAAATGACTTATGCGATTGTTACAACTACTATTCGGTAATATTTATCGAAAATAAAAATCAATATGAAACGCTCCTTATGAGCATGGAACATTAATAGGAATTCAATTTCCTCATATAAATGTTCGAATATCTCGAAAACCAAGGCTTATCGGACACCCGTGTAATAGTATATTATTCGACGAGCGTGTAATGATGGCCATTACTCATGAGAATGAAGTTTGCGACGTGAGCCGCAGGCGAACGTCGTAATCATTCGAATGAGTAATAGCCATTACACGCAAGTAGAATACTATACTTTTTCTATGACTGAGTGATGAACTGGTAGAGTTCATCAGCAGTGAATATCTTTCTTTGACATATATCCATCAGATTTCCTTTTTAAAAATGCTCGTAATTTCAAATATTTATCAATATTCACATAATTTTTTATTGAAATTGTGCTTCTTAGTATATGCATGGAATACTGTGACCACAAAGAGGATGCTTTGTGTTTAGCTGCTAATTCGCCAATATAGGCTAGCAGTACATTATCCGAAAACGAATTTGCAAGTTTTGCTTTTCGCCAAACCACTTCATACCTTTTTTTAGATTCCTCGGGCAAAAGGCTGATTGTACTTGAATTGGCAGCTTTCAAAACTCCTGATGGTAGAGAGCAGTTGAATTCATTTTCGCTTTCTGAATCCATATTTGCACAAAAAGTCAGTTCTAAATCACGCCAGATAGCTATTGTCAAATTATGACATTTCATGACGAGTCTGATTCAAACGTTTCACTGCATGCCCCATATTATCAATACAACTGGTGTCAACTGTTTTGTAGGTAATGAATCTGCTTTGTTGCTGATTGGCCATAGCCTGTTGTGTAAAGGCTCTTACACACGGGGCGTGGCTTGTTTTGTGTAATGCATCCAGTTACCCAACAAAAATGTTACATTAAAAGGGTCTATAGTTTTCAACAGTCATAGAAAAAGATTTTTTCAACACCTAGTATCTTGATAACGAATGTCGCTACAAAAATCGGTTACTGATCAACCCGAACTTACTTTGTAGTGTTCCACCTATCCTAGCAAAGATTGCTATCTTTTTTCGAAACACTTCGTATAAAAAGGTCAAAATAGAAAAATACAGCCGGTACTCATTATTGGTTACGATAGAGATTAATTATATCAACCTTTATAGTTTTCTGAATACCAGTCATGTTTCATTATTAATATATTGTTACATTACCTACCGTATAGCTATGGAGGAATGGAAAATGATGATATAAGCTATATCATGTTGCTGAACCCGAGAGAACATAGTTAATGATCGACTGTTAAATATTTCTCTTATTTCGTATGAACTCTTCACTCTATTTAATACGATTATGATTGCACGTTTAGTTGTACTGTGTTGTATGCCTCTTTGTTAATGCTTGAAGTATAATAATGGCCAGAGTCGGACCCAAACACTGTTTATGACCTGAGGCACAAGAAATTTGAACCTCTAGAAATGAAAAGTTATTTGTGTAAATGAACACAAGATGGGACATACAAGTTTTGACTGCTAGATCTCATAACTAAGAGATCTAGGATGAACAGAGTTGCCCCAATACCCAATACCCTGCGTCTTCGAAATGGGTGATATACCCGAAGCGTAGAGTTGTCCCAGTTGTCAGCAGACCGAGAGCGGCTGATGAGACCTGGAGGGTCGAAACAGTACTGTCTCGCTCCTGCTGACAATTGGGGCAACTCTTTTCATCCTAGATCTCTCAGTTATGAGATCTAGCAGTTGAATAGGTGGTGGAAAAATTCCACTCAAGTATGTCAGGTAGTGCCATCTGTCAGCAGAGTGGTTTACTTGTAGTACCACTCTGTAACGTATAGACGTAGGGGTCTGTACGTTTGACTATAGATGGCAGCGCCATACAGTGTGTGTCGCGATTTCTGTATCCTACCTAGAGCTTTATTGCCACTAGATGGCTACAACATGACTATAACTTCATGTTATACCCTGCGTATACAAGTTTTGAGTAAAGTTCAACAGGAAAATGTATAATACGAAAGATAGACATATATATTGCCTTTCGAATGAAACGAATGCAATTTCACCCATACGAAAAAAAAGACAACATGATCTGACATGGCTATTTCATTTATGTTAGAACCAATCCTCAATATACAGAGTGGTAATTCGTCTAAAGATAGAAATGCTAGTTTCATATTGAAACACTTGGTCTATTGAACAGGGAGTAAAAAACTCGAAAGTAATTTCCATTAAAATCCCATAAATAGAAAAAAATTGTGATAACGAAAAAAGAAAATTGAGATCTATAAAATTATTCGTAAAAACGATTAAAATCGACGTAATCAGGTTTTGTTTACTTATATTTCTTTGTTTCATATGGTAGAATTTTCTGGTACATCAGAACAAATCCCTTCAACTATTTCATTAGATTTTTTCTATATCATGATATCTAGTAGCTTTTGAAACCGAAAGTATTACCCTTCTTAAGAATAACGTGACTACTACCAACACTTCATATTGACCGTGTAGCTTTCCATTGTTTTGATTCGATGAGAATCAAAATCAATTGGGAATATATTATTTCTTGTTGGGATAGTTTATAATGACCAAAAAACACATTTTGTGCAAACAATCCAAAGAGAAATGGCATACTTATAGCAGCTTTTGTTGACTTTCCTGTCATGACTGAAACGACCTTATTTTTTTTATATGACAAAATCGTCCGCTATCTTGTACTCGTCATTTTGAGTCATCAAGTTCTGACGATGAATTCCTGTTCCTCAACCCAAAAAGACCAAAGATATATTCAGTCGAATCAGACGAGAAATGACAAAATTGTACGCCGTCTCAAATTCCGAAATTTTGACTGGAAATTCCTGTCACTCAACCAAGGAAACCACCGGATCTACGCATCAATAGTCCATTCGGACGTAGAATTTTTTTATCGCTTGAAGACGCCATGTTGAATTTTCAAACTTTATAAAATTCATGTTGTTTCTCTACTCCGGAAACCACATGATATAAATACTTCAGTTGAGTCGGAAGGATAATGAGAAACTCGTCCGCTATATTGAACGTGACATTCTGCTAACATTGTGAAGGATAAAGTAAGTAAGAGTAATCTGAGCGCTCCGACGTAAATACCAAACTAACCTACTATTCAAAAAATCCGTGTATATCTGTTATGTTTCATCTCCCAACCCCCAGGCTAATGCATGCGCGGCGCTGATTCGGCAATATCAATTCTCTGGAAATGATTCTGCGAAGTTATCCTCACCATTCACGATTTCATCCATTCATCCGTTTTCTGCGTTTAGGATTATTGGCGTATACTTTTCAATGATTTATGAATTAATCGCGTTCTCTATCTATTGTTATTTAGTCTGTGGTACAGACTAAATCTGAGTCCTCTGACGTGAATACCAAACTTGCCTACTATTCCAAAAATCCGTGTACAACTGTTATGGTTCAATGATTTTTGAACTAATCGTGGTGCCTATCTATAGGTTCATTCTGACTCTGACTGACTCTTTACGCGTTCGGGTTTTTGCAAAATCGTCCTGGGACGGTCCTAAAACTATCCGAAACCAGTACCCAGTACCTGATCTCGAGCATGAACCGATCTAGGATTATTTTTGGCGCATGCTCCTTTCATTTAGTTTTCGATTCTGTCTGTTGTAGCGTAACGTCATAATGATATATTTCTGTTTATTCTACTGTTTATTGCTCTTTTCAATATTTTCTCAATATTATGGTAACTCCATACATTCATCTGATAGTAGTCGATCTCCATCTTCAGGAGGCAGTGGTGAAGAAGTTACTTGCTGAAGTTGAAGATTATATTGTACTTAATCTAATAATTCTCCAACTTTTGTTAGATAACGCAAAAAAATAGATGATTATGTTGGGGAGACTTTGCCATTATATTCAGATACACAATTCATTTAACATTTCGGGTGGGTGTCGAAATTCATGTAGGTACAAGGGACATATTGAAAAACTTACTACGAATGCTATATGATGGAATATATTAACTATTCCTCCACAGACGGTTTCCAGAGATATTGTGAATAGACTCAAAGGAGAGTGTGAAGCTTCAAGATATTATTCGAATAAAGATACAGGTTCCAAACTATTGTTTTTTTTTGCGAATTCTGAATAGAGGTTATGTTCTCAGAGGTTTTCGTATGCCGCGTACCCGTTTTCATAATTTGTGAACCGTTTTGAAACAGTCCTATAGGATTCGAAACGACTGCTCACTTGTTCTACGCAGTTCGAGAACGATTCTTGAACAGTTCTGAAATCGGAACTCGAATGAACCTTATTGTTATTCATAGCGAATTCCATTGGTAAAACTGGCTCGCACTGAGTGCATATTTTGTAAACTGGTTCACATAGTTTAGAGCTCAGTGCAACAATTCTCGCACGAGCTCTAATAGGTCGTGCGAAGTCAGTGCAGTTTTGAAAATGGCGGAAACATTGAATATCCAAAGTTTTAAAACCAAAATTGAGTGGAAATCTAATCATCATCAAGTATTGATGAAAAGTTGGAGTTTCCAAAAAAATGGAGGAGATTACTTCCCAGAATCCATAATTTTGTTGAGTGTTTCGCACTAATTCAATGATGAAGGGGTACTTATTAAAAAAGTGCCAAAAATTATTCCCATGAAACATCTACTTCATTTTTAATTGAAGTCAAGAAAGAATTTCAGGATACAGACAAGTTATAAACAAAGACAAACCAATTTATCAGATTAATTAATCTCCAGCAATGAAGTTTCATTATATTGTTTCGTATTCCATTGGGAATGCACCAGTTCACATTTTGGAGAGAACTAACGTAGTGCGGGTGCAAAACTGGTGCAAAACCAGTGCACCACCAGGTTTACGGATGGAATTCGCTATTAGTCTTGAGATGATTACCCATATTTCACACAAACCGAATTGTCATTTAGTACGAACAAGGCGAGAAGAAGCGCAGGGAGGAGCGGCTGGAGCGGCAGCGGTCGCAGATGAAGCGCAAGGAGTCGGAGGAGGGCCTAGCTGGCGGGGGCGGCCGGCTGCCCTCGTCGCTGAGGAAGGAGACGTGGGTGCACCCGGAGGGCGGCAGACGGTGCCACCGGACGACGTCCGCCCATACCGAGCACAAGGACTCGGACGAGGAGGATCTGGCCGGGTTGACCAGCGTCGAGGTGAGATTTTATTTTTGTCGACCCATAATGGACACCATTATGGGTCTTATCCAACATACCGGGTGGCTACGGAAGTATTGCCTACGGAATATCTCAGTTATTGTATGAAGTAGGTTTGTGAAATTTGGAGCGTCGATATAATGACATAAGAGCTAGAATTTGAGCATATTGACATGTCGAAGTTAACTTCCGGTCTGACCGGAAGTAACATCAACTTTCTTATTTTAAATGGAAACCCTATTTTTTTTTCTTTTCGCTTTATTCAGCATTCAATTCCCTTTCTAATGACATATCACAAATTGGTATCTAACCAGAAACTAGATCAGAAAAAAATTATTATTGAAATTCACCGAGTAGGCCGTGGAAGCAAAATGAAAGCCAAAAATTGAGAAGTTGGCTATGGAAACCATACGTCACTTGATAACAGTTTTTACTACTGTGATATTTTATTTTCATTCGTCGGCGTTATAAAAAGCCGCCAAAAAAAATATTGGAAAAATTGGGAAAAAAACAATACTCTGTAGGTCCATAACTTAAATAGGAACATACAACTTTTTCTTGCCTGTACTATTCAGCATAACCATTCCTTTCTAATGATATAATAAAAAGTCATTTTTTGAAATGAAATACGCTTCCACGGCCTACTCGGTGAATTTCAATAATAATTTTTTTCTGATCTAGTTTCTGGTTAGATACCAACTTGTGATATGTCATTAGAAAGGGAATTGAATGCTGAATAAAGCGAAAAGAAAAAAAAATAGGGTTTCCATTTAAAATAAGAAAGTTGATGTTACTTCCGGTCAGACCGGAAGTTAACTTCGACATGTCAATATGCTCAAATTCTAGCTCCTATGTCATTATATCGACGCTCCAAATTTCACAAACCTACTTCATACAATAACTGAGATATTCCGTAGGTAATACTTCCGTAGCCACCCGGTATATTATGATAGTGTGGGAGTTACTTGACTCTAGCCAGGTATACCCACTAAACACTCCACCCCGCTTGTAGGCTCGTCTGACCGATGTCTTCGACGAAACTTAGGGCCGAGTGGCCCATTATAATTATCTTACCTAGTAGTTTTTATTGTACTCACTCCATTATTTCTGTACCTTGAACAAGTCTGTACAAATCCTTCACTGGATGTGAGTTAAATATTTCTGGTTCGCCGACTGGTTGCCCAAAAATTTTCTGTCTTTAGCGGTCCAATGTCTCGCATTTGCACAATATATGTGATACTTTTTCTGGTCCCTTTCCGCATAGTATGCAGCTTACGTAGGCATTGTACAGTCCCATTATGGTAATATGCCCCTTCACTGGCGCATGGCCAATCATGAGTCCCGTGGAGAGATTGATAGATAGATAGATAGATAGATTGGAAATCGCCTACATCATGAAGATGACGACGCTTGGGAGAAGCTTGCCAAATTTCTAAAGTACCAAACCAACTTCTTGTGGAAATAGTGCGTTATAATTTCGAATTTAATATATTAAGTGCTAACTCAAGAATAACCTGTGATAATAATTGCTATACTCACTTTTCGTTAAAAAAACAAAAGGATTTTCGGATTTTTATATGATATGCACAAGTTGCAGAACGTCCTTAAAAAAAGTACAATACCCTCAACTAACGTAATATACAACGCTTGACAGGTAATACCTTCCGTGATTTTATAATTACCATACATACTGTTCTTCAAATGTTCAGTACTCTTTCACAATTACTCAAGATTAAATGAATATTCTGTATTCAGTTATTCTTTCACCAAATAATCATTCTGAGCATATTATCCAGTGGTGCGTTACAGGGAGTTGTGGTTACTTTTCCTCCCGTATTTTTACGCCACTGATGGTATTTCGATTAATTTCAATTTCTCCAAATCTTTGTTCAATTTTGATGAAGAAATGCATCACTTTCAACAGAGCTGAAATGTTTGGGATATTTGCCCCAGAATAGAAGCATACATAGGCATATTTTCATCATTTTCAGTAATATCTTATCACAAAATTATTTTCTGGTTGTGGATAGATTTAATACTTTATGATGCATTTCTCAAACAAAATTCAACAATTTCTAGAAATTGAAAAAAAAAAATTAGCAGATTTAACAGGGCAAAAAAGTGAAATCAATACCAGTGACACTGATATATAATATTTTAATTTGAAATCTGAACAAAATTACAAATATGACGAAAACGTGACACTCGTGACAGATGTCAGGTTGATATTATTGTTTATTGTTTATTCAAAAACTAGCTTCCAGTCAGTAATAAAATTCTGGTATGAGGAAGTTGATTACAAACAACAATAATAAAATAATATAAGGTGACAACAACAACAACAACAACAACAAAAAAATAAAAAAAAACTAAAAATGCTATCGATTAAGTCATAAAAATAGCTACAGGGACTAATCAGTAGATGACAAAGTATAAATTTTATCTATTTCGTAATGAAATCATGTGTTTTTTTAATTCAACTTTAAATTTTGAAATATGTCTGCAATTTTTTATATTATGTGTAATTTATTAAACGCTGAATCTTTCGTAGACTTCCCACATCTGAGTCTTTATTGGTCACAATGATCGCGGACATTATCTCGCAGAAAATCTCAGTATTATCAACGGGACCTGCAGGGTCTGGAAAGAGGGAAAACACCTCCTCGAAACCCTAGATGAGTACTTCAATAAACACGGTGGAATGAAGTCATGCTATTAAACGACTAGAGTACAATTTAATCTGACCAAACTTGATCTCCATCTTTTTTTTGCAAAAGATTCAAAACGCATTTTGAAATTTTTCATCATTTACGCCATCTATCACCGGATATGAGAACCCCACACTTCGATCTTTGAATTGAATTGTTTATTTCTAGAGTTAGTATAACAAAGCAATGGAAGAGTGAGCCCACCAGCAGCTATAACCCTCTCAGAGGTGAGTGGGCTCTCTCAAAAGGAGAATTGACACAGGGTGTGCGTATTCGGAGCTCAAGCTTCGAGACCTGGTACTCTCGATTATTAAGATTATTCATTTCAAAATACACGTTTGTGTGTTGATAATTGAAAAACTTGTTTTCGATTTTGTGTTTCAGCTGTTTATTGTACACCGAAGACTTATTATGCTGTGTTTTCGATTTTGTATTCCACCTCATTATTGGTAGTTTGATCAAATATAAAACAGAATAACTTACCCAGCAGCAGGCTATAATGGATGTCATAATATTTCCATATTCAGGAATTCAACACAAAACCGTGATAGGCACTCACTTTTAATTTGTATCGAAGCATTTTAGAATTTTGTATGATGGGCATTTCAAACACTCTTAATATCAACCTAATAAACTCATGAGTAAATTGCTAACTTCCTAACCATAACATAATTTCAAACCTGACAATCCTTGGATTATTTGACAGTCGCTGTCAGTGACGCAATAAATTCTTTGATGTATGTATGCATAACGACGGAATATGAAAATACAAGATAAAATTATTATTTAATCCATGAAATAATCAGTGTAATTATTTTGTTGTGTTGTGTGTTATTGTGTTTTATTGATAAATATCGAAAATTCCTTCTCTTTTTCAAAACAAATTATGTTGCTGTAGGATACCACACGAGCTCATAGCGCAACATAATTTGTTTCTCAAAATCGAAGGGATTTTTATTTCGATAATCAACAATACACTTGTTGTATTACATACGAAAAATGTCGGGTAGTGTCATCTGCCAAGCAGAATGGTCAGCATATTGTAACATGTAACGTAAGGGTAACACCTCTTGGGCTGTAGGTGACAGCGATCTTATATGAATCGTGATGCCATTGCACTTTGGCCTCCAGATGTCGTTAAAACGGCTCAAACATCATGTCATATTGGTTATTTATTTTTGTGCTGGTTAATAAGTTGAAAAACGAAATGACCTATTCAAATATCACAAAAAAAAACTGAGTTGAGCAATTTTTCATTCTGGTTTTTCAAATGAAAACCAATCAAGCTAGCCATTTTTGTAAAAACCATTGTCGTTACAGTTTCAAACTAGGGATTTCACTAAAGTATGAGAAATGCTGACAACATATGTCTTGTTGAAATGGCATACTTGATTCATTTCTACCAACCACCAAGATGTTGAAAACTAAAACTAATGCAATTACGAATGCAACTTTCTGATAAACTAAATACTGCGATTCCCATCCTCTAAAAAATGCAATTAAACCCATAGTATTCAGTGGCAGAAAGATCAAGGTACCTAAATTGATTAAAACATGTTTTTTTTTCTAGGTGAACAAACGCTTCGTGATCAGTTATCTTCACGTACATGGAAAACTTATAACAAATATCGGGTAAGTCTTCTATTTTATTTCATATAACACGAAAATATATATATGCCGACTCGCAAAAAGTATGGAAACATAATATTTCTCATTTGAGAAACTATTGAAATGAATAAATTACTGCAGTGAAATGATCAAATTCACAATATAAGGTACCGTGACGCCAAGCATTGATATAGATTGGCCTATGGAAATAGTTCTTTCGGAATGATGGTAGAGTTCTTGAATTAAAACAACTCGAACTATATCTCTTTTCATATATCATGAACTGCATGCACAGTACTTTGGACCAGCAACTATGGATCTAACAACCATGGGTCCAACAGAAGCAACTCTTTGAATATGATATTGGCCTTAGAGGAATACGACTTTTGAATACAGTTAAGCTGAGCTACAAAGAGTCTGTGAACCAAGTTTTTGGACTGGAAGAGACTAACCCGTGAAGAGGAGACTCTGAATAACAACTATGAGCATTTTATATTGTCATCACTTCAGACCTGGCCAGGATGATAATTTCTTTGACGGAATTCAGTAGCTTCCTGAGCTGAATCACTTTCACATCCTTTGAGTGCAGTACAATGCTCCCAAAGGCAGCTTTATTCTGATGCACCAGTGCGAGACATTCAACAAGTATCTGCGATGATGTTTCATCATCCTCCAAGCACCATCTGCAGATGGTATCATCTTCGATCCCTATGAGCTCCAGGTGCCTGTTGAGGTGGTTGTGTCCAGTGAGGAGCCCAACTACCATCTTGAGATCCCTTCTGTTAAGTGACAGGACCTCTCTCCTTTGTATGGAACCTTGATTGTCTCATTCCTGGTGTGTCCCGCCATATGTCAAGGAACTGCTTCTGTATCATTTCCTTCATAAAGGACGCCTATGTTCGCTAATTAACGCGATGAAATAGAACGTCAGGAATGGAGCAAAAAGAACAGTCGCATTTGTTAGGATTACGTGTTTCTCTATATTTTTGTATAATAGGGTGCTTCATTAAAACACGGCAGATGTGCAGAAAAAGATAGCGAGGAATCTAACGCCGTCTAGAAGTGCGAGGCAAAAAACACGTGCCGCAATCCGACCCTAATATCTCACACGGCTAGGCAAGTAAAGAAGAAGAAAATGGAGAAAAAGTTGAAGAACGTAGCAACGGCAGATATCATTTTGTCTAATTACTGTTACACGACGCGCAGCACATACAGAATGGAGTTCGTGTCGCGAGTTTCAATGCTATTATAGACTATGGGAGCTTGGAGGATGAGCCGTTTCGGCTTCCTAGTTCACTATAAATAGTCGATTAATCGCTAATAGGCAAGAACACTAATTCTTTAATAAATACACGGAAGAAGTGATCGAATTGCCAACATTTTGTACGTAGTTTTGACAACTTTTGTAGCGGAGACGAATAATTTTTTGACAACGATATTTGAACATTACCTATACGTTCCTATTTCCTTGAGTTTTGTCGACTCGTTGAAGATATGAGTTTTATTGTTGTGAGATCATTATAATGTGAGTTCCTAACCTATTTGGATTTTCATTTGTCATTTGTGCACTCAGGAAGTTGATGTTTGTAGAAAAAAGTCGATCACCGTTTTACTGTTGGCTTCGGGAAGATTCCCATATGAATCCTGTACAATATCAAAAACTCCTTCATTCATGCTGTTTTCAAGGTCATTATCTGATGTGGCGATGACGTTTAAACTGGTGGAAAACATTCCGAACTCCTGGCATAGATTGAAAATTAAACCATGTTTTCCCTCAGTTTTAACGTCATTGCTATGTCAGATGATGACCTTGAAAACCGCGAATACTGAGGCCGATAAAAATTCATTGAACTGAAGATTATCTTGCCACTGTATCTTCTTGGAGTACAAGAGTATTTCTCATATTATAGTATTCTAATCTGTGTATTGGGTGTGTAATTGTTGTTGTCATTGGTCAAAAAACTATTTGTGATGATCTCAAATAAAGAATGATTGCATTAAATATACTTCAAATCCGAGTAGTAAGTACGACCCAATATCTATAAAAACATATCCTAACAAGAAGCGACAGTTTTCATGTTTTGTCATAGTAACTTACGTACTGACTATTGCACATTTTTTTCTCCTGGTCCCACTGCTGTTCGTAGGAACCTATTAAAAATTCGTATAATGGAACTGAACAGGATAGGTATGTGAGTTTTTTTTTCAAATTCATTTGGAGTTGAAGTACTTCTCGAGGTTTATTTGTAATTGTCTCACCTTCTCGTATGTCACTTCACTTTGAGTCAAATTATTTATTCGAAGAAGTCATTCTTGTACTGCATAACAAATTTGTACGCTTCCCACTTGGTTCTGTCCAGTTGAGGACCCTGTATTATTGAACGAAATCGCGATCTTCATCGAACCATCGGTAACTGTAAAGAGAACGTAGCGGTTTGATTGAAACAATTTTCGTCTAGGACCATCGTCCGAATACGATACCGATAAGATAATTGACTAAATGAAAAAATAATATTCAGGTGTGTTTTTTATGTAATTTGATAGCCAATCGCTCGAGGCTGATTCATTTTTACGGTATGAGTTATCGACCGTCTGGTGGAATTCGCTGCTGGTCACTTGAAGTAAATATGAAATTCATTCACCATTTTAAATTACATAATAATAATTATATTGCTGTATCGGTAGAAACTTATGGAAATGTATGGAGGATGCATTATGAAATTTTACATTTGAAAGCGTTATTGAATTTTATCTAGAGATAGCTCCAGTTGTCCCTACAAGTAGATAATATATGTGTACTATTTCTCCTTGGTATATCGTTACATACAATACTGGGCAGCTATTGCAATCCAGAGATTCTCAATTTTTTCTCAACAGTGTAATTGAGATAGGGTACCGAGTGACTATAATCATTGTATTTTGAACAATATCAATCTGAAATGCTGATCTCTTATTCAGAATATTCACATGCGGTTTTCTTTAGTTTATTTTCTGTATAATGACATATTTACTTTCTTCTCTAAACTTCTTGTTCCTTTTCAGCTATGAGACAATCAGGTAATTTCATTAATTCATAGATCATGTTGTACATATTCACAGATTCGGAAATCTTGGCATTTTTTCTTTCTGAAGGGTTTGGATTGGGAGGATTACTGGCATCTTTATCAGATATAGTAAAGGAACTATAGGGCATACTCTAAGAGTAGGCGCTGAACTATATTGCCCTGATGCACTTTAATGCCTTATTTCTTAGAGTTCCTCAACGAACCCTACTTGTCCTTCATATCCCTGGAAATTCTATCGCTGACTTATTTTTCTTTGGAAAACAATTCAATAACCCTTAAAGAATAGGAGTGTTATATTATAAGTATATGTACTAACAAAACATTTAGATCGTACTGTTGAATGTATTAACTCATATACAGGGTGGGCCACCAGTAACGCCTCGGTCTCTAGAAGGCTAACCACTTATCTTCTTGGAATTCTTCCCCTCTAGGAAGTTGCATATCAACATGGGCTACCATTTAAGATTATTTCTAAACATACAGGGTGTCCCCAAAAACCATAAAACACTGAAGTTGAACTTTTTTCTATCGAACACCCTATATATTATTTCATTTTGAGATTCTCCCTGATGAGCTGATTTCAACGACCCATCATACTTGGGGTCTAGCAGTTATAATTACTGAAATATAGGGTGTGAAAAATCGAGATTTTCCAAGTTCAAGAATTTTTTGTGTCGAAACTATTCATAATTGGTCAAAACGGCTTACATGTCCCTATCTCAACTTTTGATTAACTATCTACTGATATTTAATTGGGACATATACCGGGTGATCAAGATTCTGAATTCTGCACCACCCTGTATTTGTTTCAATTAAATGTCAGTAGATAGTTGATCAAAAGTTGAGATAGGGACATGTGAGCCGTTTTGACCAATTATGAATGGTTTAGACACAAAAAATTCTTGAACTTGGAAAATCTCGATTTCTCACACCCTATATCTCAGTAATTATAACTGCTAGACCCCAAGTATGATGGGTCGTTGAAATCAGCTCATCAGGGAGAATCTCAAAATGAAATAATATATAGGGTGTTCGATTGAAAAAAGTTCAACTTCAGTGTTTTGTGATTTTTGGGGACATCCTGTATGTTTCAAAATAATTTCAAATGGTAACCTATGTTGACATGCAACTTCCTAGAGAGGAAGAATTCCAAGAAGATAAGTGGTTAGCCTTCTAGAGACCGAGGCGTTACTGGTGGCCTACCCTGTTATAATAATAATATTCATGGACAAAAATAAAAAAAATAGTACCTACCAGAATATAAAAATTGTTCTGGTGAAACGCTGATTCTTCCTAAACACTCAGACTGTTGAAAACACTGAAATAAGTTCAAGAATAAGGAAAAATTCATAAGGCTATTATTTTATTCGACAGCTGTCATTGCATCATATTCAAATTTGATACAAGTGTCTGCAATTCTGCACCTACTACCTTCAATTCAATTTAATACTACTCACCATTCAAGCATTCTTGGTAACGAAGAAGTATCTTCATTTACAGCTGATTCTTCCTAAACACTCACTTAGACTGTTGAAAACACTTGAATGAGTTCAAGAATAAGGAAAATTTCATCGAATTGCTTCATTATTTTATTCATATTTGAATTTATTTATTTATTTATTTGTTCATTAATTGCATATATCTACTACTCATATATGAAGCATAGCTGTCTTCAAAGCGGGATTAACTTCTGTCTTTATAGAAGAAAATTATAAGAAAATTGTCAAACCAATATGGCTGTTTCCATCCTTCACTTTCCGTCCTTATAGATTCAAATAGTACCTCTCATTTTGGTCCCATTTTTGTTGAGATATCGTATAGGCGATGGGCCATATATAGAAATAGTACATATATGATCAATTTTATCAAGTAAAATCTACATTTTGTAATCGAATATCGATTACATGTATATATATTTCATATTGTATCTCCTTCACATAGGTTAGTGACCTGTGTGTGAAAGATATAAAGTATTCAACGTATAAATTTGTTTCTCCATAATATAAATACTAACAAGTATCTGCAATTCGCACCTACCTTCAATTCAATTTGATACTAGCCATCATACAAACATTCTTTGTAACGAAGAAATATCTTCATGTACAGCTGATTCTTCCTAAACACTCACTCAGAATGTTGAAAACACCAAAACAAGTTCAAGAATAAGGAAAGTTTCATCGAATAGCTGCATTATTTTATTCGACAGCTCTCATTCCATCATATTTAAATTGGATACAAGTATCTACTATTCTGCACCTACCTTCAATTCAATTTAATACTAGTCATCATACAAACATTCTTTGTAACGAAGAAATATCTTCAATTACAGCATGGAAAGTTTTCAAGAAACTGCCATGCAGATGTTGAAGGAGTTCCGTGCCCTTCTTCAACACTCCCCAGTGCCCTTACCCTGCAATAGATTCCTGCAGCTGTTAGCCTTGAATATGTTTGCCATTGACAGTACGCAGCTAAAAGGTAAGTGCCTACTTATTTAACTGAATTTTTAAATTTTGGATTCATTCGTCGAACACCTTTCAACATAAAAAATCTACCGACATTTGATTGACATGGCTTTGGATGCTGTAATCGAAAATAAAGCCTACCAATTTTACTTTCCATGAAATTGTTGACAAACGGCAATGAAATATTTAAGCTTGGCTAGGAATATTAAATGCATAAAAAAAAATGGTTTAGAAAAAAAGTAATCATATACCAAGGTACAGAAGACTGAGCAGAGCTATGTTATTTCCCGAAATACTTCAGCATTGAGGGTAATGAGTGATTGAACTATAATATCCCTAGAACATTGATAACACACGAGATAATCGAAAGCTAGAAAGCTTATTCCAACAATATTTCGTCAAGTTTTTCATGGTGTCATAATGATTGAAAACTTCCCTTCATATCATCAGTTAAATATTGTTGCACTTGAACATTGAATTCAGAGCATTTCAGAACCGATATTAGGTATGTCAGATGGTTATATAATCTACTAGGAGAAACGAAATATTTCACATTTGTTAAATTTAGCTAATATTGATCTCTTAAGTTGAAAATATGGTGAATAATGTTCTGAGCGAATAGTAGAAAAAAAAACGACGAACATTTTCCACCTCCGTTCACGATAGTTTATTTTATACTACTTTAAGACCACAATTTTATTCTTTTTGATCCTGAGAAACCAATTTTCAGTACCTGAACCATTTCCTCTCTCACTAGTAAATGAAATAGTATATTCCATAACTAGGGTGGAAAGTAACATCCTGAGAAACCAATTTTCAGTACCTGAACCATTTCCTCTTTCACTAGTGAATTAAATAGTATATTAATACATAACTAGGGTGGAAAGTAACATATTTCGCACGAGTGATATTTAGCACGACGCCGCGTACGAGTGCATAAAATACACTTTCCAACGAATATGTACAGGGTGAACAACTAAGAACAGCTGTCATCAATCATTCTTCCAACTTTGATCATTATTATCTTCCCTTAGCAAAAAGCTATCATGTTGCGGTTTTCGTTGGTCTGTTGGTTTCTCTGTATCATCGTGTAATAAATATGATATCAATCACAGTTGATAAAACAGGAAGATGCCTTTACAAGGAGCCCAAGATTGTTGAATTCTGTAGAAGATAACCAGAGTTACAGACGATTAGAAAAAACATAATTTGACGTGCCCCCACCACTTAATTTTTTGAGATGGGACAAGAAGTGAGAAGCAAAAAAACTAGGAATATATCAAGGATCAAACTGCATATATTTTCTGTACACCTTGTTACTACTTAATACGGAGAAAATTTGAATTTTCTCTACTCATAGCTGTTATGCCATCTAGCGGTTATTTTAGGAACCTAAAAATATTTTCCAGATATTTTTAGGGTCACTTATAATTTTTTTTTTCAAAGTTGTATCATTATTCGTTGCTTAGATATGGTCGACAGCCGTTCTTAGTTGTACACTGTTTTTCCTACGGCCATAATTATACAGGGTGTCAATTTGAAAACTTCCCACCCTCAATATCTCCCTCCAAGTCGATAATATGGAAAAACGAAAAGACAGGTCGATTTTATTGTCGAGGGGAACATGGTTCTAAAATATTTTCAGCCCCGCGGCGTTGCCGCTTCTAACGAAAAGAAGCAACAACTTTGTTATTTCAAATGGAACACCCTGTATTTTATTACATTTTTAGATTCTCCCTGAAAAGCTGATTTCATCAATGTATCTCACTTGGGGTCTAGCAGGAATGATTACAGAGATATAGGGTGTTCAAAATCGAGATTTTAGAACTTTAGGATTTTTTTGAGTCGAAACTATTCATTATTGGTCAAAACAGCTTCCATGTCCCTATCTCAACTTTTGATTTACTATCTACTGACATTTATTTGAAACAAATACAGGGTGATCAAAAGTCTGAATCTTGAACCACCCTGTATTTGTTTCAAATAAATGTCAGTAGATAGTAAATCAAAAGTTGAGATAGGGACGTAAGAGCCGTTTTGAACAATAATGAATAGTTTCGACTCAAAAAAATCCTAAAGTTGTAAAATCTCGATTTTGAACACCCTATATCTCTGTAATCATTCCTGCTAGACCCCAAGTGTGATACATTAATGAAATCAGCTTTTCACTGAGAATCTGAAAATGCTATAAAATACAGGGTGTTCCATTTGAAATAACAAAGTTGTTGCTTCTTTTCGTTAGAAGCGGCAACGCCGCGGGGCTGAAAATATTTTAGAACCATGTCCCCCTCGAAAATAAAATCGACCTGTCTTTTCGTTTTTCCATATTATCGACTTGGAGGGAGATATTGAGGGTGGGAAGTTTTCAAATTGACACCCTGTATAATATAATAATAAGACGCAGAGAATATATACAAATTTTAAACATCTACTTGTCTTCAATATAACACTTTATATGTCTTTAATCTATGTTAAAATTAATCGAATTTATTATTCGCGGTTGTCATGGTCATCATCTGACGTTGCGGCGACATGAACGGGAAAATATTCCTAACTCTTGGCTTATATTGGAAGTTAGACATGTTTTTTCGTAGTTTTCATGTCATCGCACCGTCAGACTACCACGAATTAGGTAAGTATACCTATTAGGTACTTTAATTATTTCCGAAGGATGAAAATTGAAAGGGATATGGTTTGGAAATTATATTTTTTGACAAAAACAATGTCATTGAAATTTCACGAAACACGCCTACTTGACTTCGAAGTTTCGCTCGTTGTCGACGGCTACCATGGAGCCTCGTAACCGCGCAACCCAAAATACAGCACAGAATGCCAGAGTGTAGGTGAATGTAGACCCAAGCCACAGCGGTGTAGATAGTGTGACAGCAATGAGGTTATGTCTCGCAGATTAAAACAAAATGACAAGTATACCCAAATCTGCACAATTATCAGTTCTCATTGATCCGGAATGGGGCAAAATATATACTCTCCAGAACAAAGACCATGTGAGCGTGCGGGAATATTTCCACGCTGTGTGTTTTACTTTCGCATTGCTATGGTGATATGAGCTACTTTCTAAGCAATATTTGCTTTCTCAGATTGTCATACGAAAAAACGATTGCATTTGACATGATTTATCCTATCTGAATTTCGTTCTTATTTGTAATGTCACTCAACTGACTGCTCTAAGCATAAGCAACGGTTCAACTCTTCCAGTCCAACTTTCGGAGAAAATGTAATTCAAAAAGTCCATTACCAAGACTATTATACGCATAAACGATTGTTTTGCTTTTGGGAAAGTCTTTAAAAAAGACATCGTCTTGCTAAATTTTTTCGGAAATTTTGCTTCGCTACCTGTAGAGTATTTTTTTCAGTTGTCTCGACTATTGGTTAGCATCTTGCGCGCGCCTCTTTCGTCAGGCAGAACGGACACACCTCGGGGCCCCATAAAATTTAATTATTTCCACTAAAACATTGTCGTCCATTAAATAAATGCGATTTGAATATACGGCCCAAGGTAGATGAATGCCCACTACGGCGACTCATGCAACAGCCATTCGTAACTATTTCGATTATTGTTTCCTGAAGTTTCTCGAGATAACTGTTTTGCCGTGTGAAGTATTACTCATTTGAATATCATTAAGCGAATGTTGATGGGGTATTACATTTCGAGGAGGAAAGTGTTTATTTTCATTGCTGCCTGGAGTTAATGAAGATTTTTGGTATACCGATGGCTCCAAAACTTTGGAAGGCGTCGGAGCCGGAATATACGGGATAAACCCAGTAGTGAAACGCTTATTCAGTATGGGTAAACTAGCTACGGTATTCCAGGCAGAGATATACGCCATTGAAATGTTTGCAAGGGAGCTGGAAAATCGACACCACATCACACGAAAAACAATACAGATTCCTTAAGAAACCTTAAACCGACTGGCACAACGCAATAACGTTAACCTAGTCTGGATACCAGGTCACACGGGCCTAGAAGGGAACGAAATAGCGGACGTGCTAGCAAAAGAGGGGACCGACATAGCACTGCCAAGAATGTAATAACATCCTGGGCCGACAACAAAAGACTCGAGTAGCCCATTCCAAAGCATTCATTGCTAGTACAAGGAACAAACAGGACTCTGACAAACTTCTAGAACTCAGTTGAGCACATCTCAGAGTTATAGTAGGTTTGCTCACTGGCCACTGCAAACTCAAACACCACATGCACAAAATCGGACTTTCACAAGATGAAGAGTGCCGTATATGCATGGAGGAGGATGAAACGAATGTGCTGCAGCGGCCAGAATAAGATTTTCAACATTTGGCAATACAACAGTAGGGCCAGAAAACCTGATGAATTGTTCTTCCAACGTACTCCTTAATTTCGCCAAAAGATTAGATATACTGGTAAAAATATAACCATAGGGTGAGCCACATTAGACCATTGGCCGCAGTGGAGGGCCTGACATGGGCCCACTCACGTTTAAACCTAACAACCTAAACCTAACAAAGGTTCAAAGCGATGGGCTACAGCTTTTTTTTCTAAGAGAATGCTGGAAGAGGATTTTCAGATTGCTAACACAATCGTCCATGTGAGTTTATTTTTATCCCCCATTCACTTATTTGTGTGTTTAACAACCTGTTCACCAAGCCATGTACTAGGATTGTCATACCAGGATAGAGATCAATGCTCCCGTCGAGTCTGAGCGTTACTACTGATACAACAAGGCCGCAATGCTCTGACGTAAACGCCTTGTTACGTCACCTTTGATATGCAGAAGCGTTGTTCATACGGCATGCGGCTACTTAGACTTATTTGCGATTTTGGTTTTTTTACTAACACACGATCAAACAGCTTTGTTGAATATTCATCGAAATAAATACTGTTTTGTGTAAACTTTTGTGTTGTGTTGAGGGGAACAATGCACCAGTGTCCATTGTCCATTGTCCAAATTCTCATGTTTTTAGTGTCCTCTTCGATCTTGACCTAACTCAGAAGTGGGTACCAGCTGAAATGATTCCTCTTCATCCAAGTTAAGTAA